GGAAATGGACAGTCCTCCCAAAAAGTCAATGGCTTTACACATACACATGCACACGCCCAAAGATTAATTAAGGTGTGGAATAGACTGCTTCAACAACCAGAACAGGCGTACAGCATGTACTGTTCATCTAGATGGGTTGTTTCCTAGACACAGTCACACACATCAGCTTTTGGGCTTCAGGTCCACCTAATGAGCACCACACTAAGTTCCTCTTTCCCCCATACACCACTCAGGTGCATTCCTTACTACCTGCCCTCCATTCAGTTGGGAGCTCTTTAATCAGCAATAGTCTTTAGGCTGCCCACAGTCATAACCCAGACTCTCTGTGTGATGCCTACAAGTGGTCATTGCATCCCACAACTGCCGGGCCTTGAACCACTGGCTGTTGGACCGTGGTGGCTGTCAGAGCACAAGCCGGCTGTTCCCCGTGGTTCATTTCTGGCAGCTGTGGTGGCTCAGGTGGTGGCAGCAGGAGGAGTTTCCCTTCCTCCTCCCCATGCTGTGCTAGGAAAGGAGGGGGCACAAAGAAGGAGGGAGGTGCGCATACCACCAATGGCCGCTCCCCCTGCCCACGCGCCCACTTTTGCGAATGGCAGCAGGAGGAGGTGGAGCACGAGACGCCTCCCCAGGGCTCTGCTGCCCCCTCCCACCTGCCCATGCAGCCGCTTTTGCCAGTGGCAGCACTGAGGCGGAGCAGGCGCCTCCCCAGGGCTCCTCCTCTCCTCCCACCCACACAATCTTTTTTGCCAGCGGCAGCAGCAGAAGGCACCTGCCTCCCACCTCCCACCCTGTAATGGAGGCTGGCCAGGGCTCTGCGCTCCCTCCCCACCCATGGGGGTGCAAGATGCATTTGAGGAGGGAGGGGGTACAAAGGAGGAGGGCTGCTCTCCCTGCCCATGCAGCAGTAACAGCCATGCTCTCTAGAGGTGGCAGCTTCACTGTGGTGAGTGCAGGGGTGGGGGCAAAGGGGTGATGGGTGAGGGCATGGTAGGGTCATGGGACAAGAGGGTGTTGGCATGGGCTGTAGGGGTCAGAGATTTAAAGGTCAAAGGGCATGGGGCATAGGAGGGTGTTAGGCACTGGGGAGCAAGAGACGGGGTAGGGGCTTGGCGAACCAGTAACATTTTATGTGCACATTAGCATAGTGATTATTTGCATAACAAATATACAACTAAAATGTTACCAGTCTACCAAATGTTTGTGAATGGGTTTGCTGGTCCGCAGCATAAAAAAGTTCGGGGACCACTGCCCCAGTAGACACACTTTTGGGTATGAGAAGGAACATGCAGGGACACACAGACCCACATTCCCCCAAACAGCCACAGCAGTGGGAATTCACTGTTTCATTTATTATATTACCTCATATTTATATTTAAACAATATGACAAGGGAAATATGTAGATTGTGTTATAAAGTATTTTCACAGCAAAATGACTATGTATTATTATTTTAACAACTACAGTTGGTTAACAACATAGGAAAAATATCCAGCTTGCTTAATAATTAAAATCACATAGTGTTTTAGTACCATGCTGCAAAGAGCTTCAGGAGACACATTAAAGAGCCACTTGTGGCTTGCGAGTCTCAGTCTGAGTATCACTGGTCTAGTGGTGGAGCCGGGGACTGAAGGACAGCAGAGTGAGTCCTGGCCCTGCCTCGCTGTACAACTGTGGGGAAGTCCTTTGGCATCTGTGTCTTAGTTTCCCCACCTGCAAGACAGGGATAATACTTAACTATCTTTGCAAAGTGCTTCAAGACTCTTGGAGACATTAGAAGCATTATTAGCCTTCCCCTAACTTCGACATATCTGCCTGATGCCCGCATTTTTTGCTTGCCCCCATCTGCTGTCACTCACCACAATGATGCACTGGAAGAGAGAAGCAATGTCTCCCAAGTGGCCAAGACCCACTCCATACACAAGGGCTACGTCTAGACTGGCCCCTTCTCCGGAAGAGGCATGCAAAGCAGGCAAGTCAGAATAGGGAAATCCGCAGGGGATTTAAATATCCCCCGTGGGATACTTGCAAGTAGGAATAAGAGATCCTCCGGAAAAGGGCTTTATTCCGGAGGATCGCGCCAGTCTAGACGCTCTTTTCCGGCTTTTCCCCAAGCCGGAAAAAAAGCGGTGGCCATGTTTATTTAAATCCCGCGGGGGATATTTAAATCCCCCATGGATTTCCCTATTCTGACTTGCCTGCTTTGCATGCCTCTTCCGGAGAAGGGGCCAGTCTAGACGTAGCCAAGCTGTATAGAGCAATATCAACATCTCACATTGCACTTGGAAGGGAAGAGGAAGCCAATGTCATCTTTGGAGAACTGGTGTAATGTCCTGTCGGGCTAATATAGCCACATTCTGTGTCAGATGATCCTTTCAAGGCCAGCCTCACACAGAGCATAGTATCCAGAAAATCAGAGGCCAGGATAAACAAACTAAGGAAATACAACCTAGTTGGAGCTACTATAAAGGTGGGTGCATAACCGGCTAGAAAAACCATTTGCAGAGAGTAGTTACACTATATGCTAAGTGTTATGACCATCGCTAATGTAATTTATCATTGAGATGTGGTTCTATGGTCAGCTATAGGCATCAGCTTTTCATCAGGAATATAGTTGTCTATGGTACATTTGTAGCTGCAGAAATATTGTAACATTCCACTGGTTACATTATATATATAAAATGTAACAATATATACACATTCTACCCTCACTATACATAGTCCTGAAAGTGTAATGGCATGGCATGCCAGCATGAGGGGCTTTGCATCTGGTCGTGGCTATAGAATGATGGCCTTAAATTGTATGTCCTTAAGGCCAGGATTATGCATATTAATTTTCTGTTTGAATGGAGGTTGAGAACTAGTGAATAATACTTACTTGACAGAAAGGATTGGTACCTAGACTTTATTGCCATCAGCATTTAAAAATATAACTCACACGGTATCCCCATTTATATAAGAGGCAATGTAAGCCAAAGTCCCAACACCTATTGTACATTTCAGGCTGTTCACAGAAGGGTGACTGTTGTTAAGAAGGGGCACTAACTTCAGAACCAATGCAATCAGTACCAAAACTACCAGCCAATCACATCCAACCAGCAAGAGACCCACAAGGCTCTTGGATGCTCATTCATGCCCCTCAGCTTTCCAGAAGGCCCTACCCATGTGAATTATGTTATACTCCCACATCAGACATGTCATTTAAAAAAATCTGAAGCTATTTCCCAATTTACAGTGTGACCAGAAGGGGCATGAGTGCCCCCCCTCCCATTTTTCTTACTGCTCACTAAAAATTCAGGCTTTTAATATTTTGTCTACAATAGTCAAAGAATAAATTCCATCCAGAATGACAAACCTGGACAAAGTTGGGGGTCAACTCCATGCCATTTAATAATATGGCAGGTATACAGTATTGAACATGGCTCAACATTAGTTAATTCATCCCTGGGGTGGAGGGTGGGGGACAGATCAGCATCATGAGATGACGATCCACATTAGCACACTCTGACTTGGAATAAAATTAGACAATATTGCGATCATTAAAGGAAGAATGGAGGAATTCCTAAGTCATAACAAACAGGAATGGCAGCAGCCCAGGATCACACCCCATCTCTCCTGGTTGCCTTCTTTGCTTTTAAGCCAACTTTGTTATTTATAGCAGAGCAGCAGGAGAAACACATCCTGGTAGAAAGTGAGGAGGAAGTGGAGGAGGTGGTAGTGGTGGTGAAGCACTAGTAAAAGGAGAGAAGAGGAAAGGATTGGGGAAAAGAAGTAAGCAAGTGAATAGCTGATGTCAGCATGCAGCAGATAAAAGGGTTTAGGAGGTGTAATCTAGTCTAAGGCAAAATAATTTCCTTATACCTTTGCTTGAGCTGACAAAAATAGCCCCCCTTCCTCCTCAAAACCAGACAGAAGAAAGCATCTCTGACAGAGATCCTAGCTGCCCCAGCTGGTTTTTTTTTTGTGTGTGGCTACATTCACATTGTCTCAGAGCCTTTTCAGTCCAGCCAGGCTCCATTAAAAGAAGAATCGGGCAGATTGACAGACAATGAGCTACTGAACAGAAGCAAGGGAGTCCTTTTGCTCCCAGGGGAAGGAGAGTGGATTCAAAGAGATTCCTTTAACTGAGGAGGAGGACGGTGGATTTTGCCTCCAGCGCCCTGGATCTTCCAAGGCCTCTCTCCCAGGAATACTGCTGCAGTTTGAAGGGCGACTGCAGAGTCATCTCCCAAGAAGAACGGCTCTGGAGTGGGACTGTGGAACAGAAGGAAGCAACTCCCCACAAATACACCTTCCGCCAGGGAAAGCGAGACTGCAGCACCGCGAACCCACATCACATCACGCTACCCCACCCCACCAAAAACGGAGAGCAACAAAGAAACACTCCTCTTGCCATCTTGCTTCACGTACACTCGGAGCCTGACAATGAACCCGGATCAGTCCTACCATCCAGCCTCAATAGCATGAAAATACGTGGCCTCCTTTGCCAATCGGCTTTGACATGGGGACGTGGGGGAGGGAAGGGGAAAGCTGCAAGCAGACAGAGCTGGATCGATTAAAATAAAAATCGCCACCGACACGGGGAACGAGTGTCGCCGGGGACACACCGATACGGCTGGCGTGCGTCTGCGGGCAGCCCGGGCTACTCTGAGACAGCCTCCTAGCCCGCTGCTGGGCTCCCGGCAGAGTCGAAAACCACCCGGGGGCATTTGCGGGAGCCACCTCCCTAGCGGTGGCTCACAGGGAGCCCCGAGCCACCCCGCTACCATTGTTTCAGAGGCAGGCTCAGCGCCACCCTCGGCTCTATGGAGAACCGATCTCGGAGCAGGGAAGGGGAGAGCAGTCCCCACGGGCGGCGAGAGGTGCACGCAGGAGTGAGACATTTCCAGGCTGCCTTGGAGACAGGTCCCTGGTGCTGCTGCAGAGTGAAGAGCGGCGGGGGAGGGGGCGGAGGAAGGGGAAGGAATAAGCCATTGCAATGTCTGTGCCGGGCGGCTCTCTTACCCCAGGGTCAGACACGGACCGGCTCCCCTCTCCTTCTGCCGGGCTCCCGCTGGCCCCTCCGAAGCAGGGAGGGCGGCACTGCACCCACCCACAAGAGGCACCCCGGCCCCTCACCAGCCAAGTCTCCCGCGCCAGCCACTGGCTAGCTCAGCTGGCAGAACTGGTAGGCGGAGAGAGGGACAAGGAGCGAGGGGGCGTGGCCTCTCCTGCGCAGGAGGAGGAGGAGGTAGTAGGGGTGGGAGGGGCTATTCCCAGGACGTCTCGCCAGAGGCTGGTGCGCATGCGCCCCCCTCCCCTCGGGCCGGTTGGAACGCCCGACCCTCCCTGCCTCATCTCTCAGAGGCGCCTCTCTTGCGCATGCGTGCTGGGATCGAGCGAGGGCCCGGGAGCCTGTGAGTGATTGTGGGGGCCCAGCCCGTGCGGGGTGAGCGTGGCCCGGAGCGGGGCGCTGAGGGGCGGGGGCGGCCGGGCGCTTGGCTGGAGGCAGCTCCGGGCTCCTCTCCTGCGCGGCCGGGCGGGGGTGTCGCGCCCCGGGGGGGGGGCTGCGCTGTGCAAAGGCCCCGCTTCTCTCGGCGGGGGCCCGGCGCCACGGGGATACAGGACCGAGCAGCCTGGAGGGGCTGTTCTGAAATGCCGGGGGGTTCGGGCTTGGCCCGCGCTCCGCTCATTGGCCTCCCCCCCTTCGCTTGGTGGCAGCCCCGAGCCTGTCCCGCTTCTCTGTCCTGCCGCAAGACCTTTCTGTTAACCTGCCCCGGCCCTTTCTTGTAACCCTTCTGGCGGGCCAGGGGACATGCTGTTCAGGTTTAGATGGGGCTTGGGGTGGCCATCCCGGTGATTCGTTACTAGTGCCGCTAATCCCCAACCAACACTGGGGGCCGTTACTTTAGTGCTGTACGCCATGGACCGGCAAACCCATTCACAACGTTTTGGTGGACTGGTCACATTTTATTTGCATATTTCCACATTCATTGTGCGAGTAATGAATATGAAGATAAAATATTGACAGTCCGCCAAAAGCTTTGCCCCCCAGAGCCGCTGTGAACAGCCTGCTTTAGCTCTGCCAGTCCCTGCCCCGTAGAGACCCCCAGACCTTCCAGTGACATCCTCCTATTTCTAGAGCCCCATTACCATAGGGGGTCATGTCACAGGGCCATGCAACTCTGGCCTTGACTGCCAGAGGAGCCGCCGCAGCCACATGGCTCTGGTCCCAGCTGCCAGAGGAGCCACAGGCCTCCCACCAAGCAGCTCCAACTCTGGCTTTGGCCAGGGCCACCAGAGCAGCCACAGGCCTCCCACCACACAGCTCCTGCTCTGTCTCTGGCTGGGGCTGCTCCATCTCTGGGGAATGGCTGAAGCTAGGGCCAGGGCCACATGGTGGCTGCCTTGCTGCTCCTGGGATGGGGGCAGCAGCAGCCCACCACATGGCCCCACTCCTGAGCAGCTGAGCTGCCACTGCGTGGCTCTGTTGAGGTGGGCGGCCCTCAGAGGGAGCACTAGCTAGGTGATGTATCATAGTCCCCAGAGCTGCCGTGGCCCGGCAGCCAGTGGTTTGCGGACCGGCAGTTGGAACCACTGTAGTAAGAGACACTCCCTGTGTCAATGAACTTATGGTATAACTACAAAAGGTAGACAACATGTATGTCTGTGCTGGATACTCCATAAGTGTATTATAACTCACAATTTTGTTTCTTGAGAACATAAGAACGGCCACACTAGACCAGACCAATTATCCGTCTAGCCATGTTGATAAGAGGGGTTGGGGCAGCACCCATGTAAATGCTTGAACCAACTGTAGTGAAGGTGGTAAATGTTTAATGAAGACAAGCGCAAAAAATTGAAGGTGAAATGGACCAAGACAATTTAATATCGTAGCTGTTTCTCAGTAAAACTTCAGTGGAGACTAAGATTTTATCTTGATAAAAACTGTACCCAGACCTAACATTGGCCTCAACTAGCTCCCTTAGAGTAAAAACTAGCTTGGTCTCCTGCAGAATTTTATATTGAGACAGCTGACTCAGCTCTTTGTGTAAACACACAGCTGTTTTTTCTTTTGCTGAGAAGACAGCCGTAGTTAGATAACAGGTCAGCGGTAGAGCTAAGACTAGAATCCTAGAACTGGAAAGGACCTCAGGGGGTCATCAAGTCCAGTCCTCTGTCCTCATGGCAGGACCAAGCATTGTCTGGTGTCTGTCTAACCACCTCTTAAATATCTCCAGTGATGGAGATTCCACAACCTTCCTAGGCAACTTAGTCCAGTGTTTAACCACCCTGACAGGCAGGAAGTTTTTCCTAATGTCCAACCTAAACTTCCCTTATTGCAGTTTAAGCCCATTGCTTCTTGCTCTAGCCTCAGAGGCCAAGAAGAACAATTTTCTCCCTCTTCCACATAACACCCTTTTAGATACCCAAAAACCGCTATCATATCCCCTCTCTCTTCTCTTTTCTAAACTAAACAAGCCCATTTTGGTTGCATTTCCCTGAGTTTATTAATAAGAAGTTCATGCAAGACCATGTCAAATGCCTTGCTAAAGTCTAGGTATACCACATCCACCGCTTGTCCCTTATCCACAAGGCTTGATATGTTATCAAAGAAAGCTATCAGATTGGTTTGACATGATTTGTTCTTTACAAATCCATGCTGGCTGTTACCTATCACCTTATTACAGATGTTTGCAGATGGGTTCCTTAATTACTTGCTCCATTATCTTCCCTGGCACATAAGTTAAACTGACTGGTCTGTAGCTTCCTGGGTTGTTCATATTTCCCTTTTTATAGATGGGCACTATATTTGCCCTTTTCCAGTCTTCTGGTATCTCTCCTGACTTCCATGATTTTTCAAAGATAATAGCTAAATGCTCAGATGCCTCCTGTATCAGCTCCTTTGGGTATTCTAGGATGCATTTCATCAGGCCCTGGTGACTTCAAGACATCTAACTTATTTTTAAGTAATTTTAACACATTTTTAAACTTCTAAACCTACCCCATTTCCATTGGCATTTACTATGTTAGGCATTCCTTCATCATCAAAGTCGGTGAAAAGTGAAACAAATAAGTCATTGAGCACTTCTTCCGTTTCCAAGTTTCCTGTTGTTGTTTCTTCCTCTTCACAGAGCAATGGGCCTACCCTGTCCTTGGTCTTTCTCTTGCTTCTAATATATTTATAGAATGTTGTCTTGTTACTTTTTATGTCTCTAGCTAGTTTGAATTCATCTTGTGCCTTTGCCTTTCTAATCTTCCCCTTGCATACATGCGTCATTTGCTTGTATTCATCCTTTGTAATTTCACCTAGTTTCTGCTTTTTATATGAATCCTTTTTGATTTTTAGATCATATAAGATTTCCCTGTTGATCCAAGGTAGTCTCCTGCCATACTTGCGATCTTTCCTACATAGTGGAATAGTTTGCTTGCAGCCCTTAATAATGTCCCTTTAAAAAACTGCCACCCTTTTCAGTTGTTTTTCTTCTTAGTCTTGTTTCCCATGGGTCCTTACCTACCAGCTCTCTGAGTTTACTAAAATCTGCCTCCCTGAAATCTATTGTCTCTATTTTGCTGTTCTCCCTTATACCATTCCTTAGAATCATGAATACTATGATTTCATGGTCACTTTCACCCAAGCTGCCTTCCACTTTCAAATTTTCAACCAGTTCCACCCTGTTTGTTAAAATCAAATCTAGAACAGCTTCCTCCCAGTCGCTTTCTCCACCTTCTGAAATAAAAAATTGTCTCCAATGCAGTACCAGAGCTTATTACAAAATATGTGCCCTGCTGTTCTAGTTTCCAACAGATAGATATGTTCTTCAACAGATGGGGGATAGTTGAAGTCCCCCATCACACCAAATCCTGGACTTTGGATGATTTTGTTAGTTGTTTAAGAAAAGCCTCATCCACCTTTTCTGGGTAGGTGGTCTGTAGTAAACCCCTAGCATGACGTCACTGTTGTTTTATTTTTATTTTATTTTTTTTACTCCGTTTAACCTAACCCAGAGACTCAACAAGTCTGTCTTCTATGTCCATCTCCACCTCAGTCCAATTGCATTCGTTCTTAATATATAAGGCAACACCTCGCTTTTCCTCCCTGCCTATCCTTTCTGAGCAAGCTGTACCCTTCTGTGCCAATATTCCAGATGTGTATATTATCCCACCAAGTCTTTGTGATACCAACTATGTTATAGTTTTGTAGTGCTAATAAATCAACACGTTCTTCCTGCTTATTCCTCATATTTCTTGCATTTATATATAGGCATCTAAGATACTGATTTGATTTTGCCCTCCAGTTCTGCGTTCTCTCCTTTATCTCTGCTATTATAGCCCATGCTCCTTCCCATTTCTGAGCCATTTTCCAGGTCTCCATGTTTTGCACTTAACTGTGGGCTTTGGTTACCTGCCCTCAGGTAAGTGAAAAACATGGAAACCTTGGAGATGGCTCAGAAATGTGAGGGATCATGGACTATAATAGCAGAGATAAAGGAAGGACAAGGCAGAACTGGGGGGAGGGGAGGGGGAAGGAAATCAAATCAGTATCTTTGACTAGAACTCAGTCTTCTGACTTCCTGTTTGTTGTCTTATCTGCTAGATCTCACAAATATTTAAAAGAGATGTTTTGAGATTTGAGATGTATATGTGCATAGCCTGTGGGGACTAGAAAGTAAGATCCAGTAGAGTTTAACAGTACCTAGAACTGATAAGCACCAGCTTATTGATTAACCAGTTAAACTCTTACATTCCTACTTATAACTAATTCCAAATTCTTGTGATTCATTTGGAAACTGTGTAAAAGTAGAATTGTTCCTTCTTTTCTTTTTGAAAGACAGGTGTAATGAATTTTATTGCTGCCTTGAACCAATAAATACCCTGGTTAATAACCAGTCCCATTCATAAATCCTGAATTCTAGAAGACTTAACTCCCTCTGTGTGAGTCTTGGCTTTACAGTCTGTTATTAATATAGAACCAATTATGCCTTTGTAATGAATATCTCCCGTGTTTTTAACACATACAAACTCTTAATCACATCTTTCCTTTTGAAGAAAACTCTGAATTGGTTGAGCCCCTGTAGCTCTCAGTAGGCTCTCATTGAGCACATTGCAGACCTTCCATAAATAAGGCCTTACACTGTTGCTGCAGGTTCAGACATTTGCTTTGTGCATATCATCTTGAATTCATCACCTTCAATTTAATGATGAATAAAGAACTCATTTCTTCCTAGTGTCCAGAATTTGACTTTTTCAGTCTCAGTTTGAAAGAATGGTCATGTTAGATGCTACTCTATCAATAATAAGATTACTCGCTCTCAATTTTAGCAAAGATGTTTTTCCCCCTTTTTTTCAGATTTGTTTTGCACATTTAATAGCAATTTTGTGTGTAGTTGATTTCCATGTTTGCCCTTTTACTTGG